GCTAATTTTTTGATTCATTGTAGAGATGAGGTCTCACCAAGTTGCCCGGGTGGGTCTCGAACCCGCGGGCTCAGGCAGTCCACTCACCTCAGCCTCCCAAAGTGCGGGATTACAGGCTGAGCCACCGAGCCCGGCTCATCTTCCTGTTTTCTTTCGTGGATGACTGCTGCTTGAGAGTGGATGACAGGCTTGAGAGTCTCCTCTTTCTTTCACCAGTGCTACTATGCCTTGTGCCTCACTTTCCTCTTTCTAATATATTGTGTTTGTTAGAACATTTCTTTTTGGTGGAAATTGCATGAGTTTTAATCTAAGGCAGTTGGAAAGTCTCAATTGAAAGAAAGAAATAATAATTTAGATTGGTAATGTTTATTCTTTGCCAATCTTAAAAGATAAATTAAAATTGACCATATGAGCAATGAAAACTAAGAAGCTATTTTGGCTTACAACTGGTCTTAAGAAAAAAATGTGTCACAGACATTCAGATTGTATGTATTGTATCCACTTCAGGTGGTCTTGATTTGAGTATTTTTCTTCTTGTGTCATTAAATTATTCTTGAGTGCAGAACTTATTGTCCCCTACGTTGGCAATGTTGTCCTCCTATGTTAGAACTGTAACAGAAGTCATATCAATTTATGTACAAAGGTTTTTAATCTCCATGATCTGTATCAATAATCTGAAATATATAACAGGTTATCATAAGGCTGGGGAAAGAAACAACCAAAACTCTCATCGTTACATAGATGAAACAAAGTTATAGATACAATATTAATTTTTTTATGGTCTCCTGGTACTTATTTAAGGATAGAAAGCTTTAACTTCTACACTTCATATAGTCTATCTGCTGTGTTATTTTGTGTTTCTCAAATTTACTAGGGCAAGCCTCTCTTACCTTATTTCAAATCAGATTCTGTATTGACCCTGTGAAAGTATTTCTCAGTTACCTTTTGTTTGGCTTGTTCCCTCTTCCTCAAACATAGAACAAAGAGGAGAGATGTCACTATTTTTAAGTTCTTTCACAGTACTTCTCTGTTAGTCTCCTTTATGTTCCTCTTCCTACAGATTTAGCCCCTCTGGCAGTGTTATTCCCTTGACTGAGAGACACAGAGCCAGAAGTGAGTCTCCTGGGAGAATGGATGAGCCTAAGCAACCTAGCTCCCAGGTATGTAGTCGTGGACTTAAGATTGCTGTGGTGTTTGCAGGAATTTTCACTGTGTGTGATCAGAATATAATGAATAAGAGAGGAAAGATGTAGGAAAGGTAACCATGGCCCTGTTATAGAAATACTGTATTTGATTGCTTGTGAGCATGCTTGTGAGCATGCAGAAAATACACTGTTTTGGTGTCAGCAGCGTTTGGGAAGTAGAAAAAGATAACTAGATTGTGGAACTCTTTTCTGATTATAGGAACCAGTCTATAAACCTGAGAGTAATAAAAATAACCCCTGAAAACTACATACAGGTAATTTGGGACCTGGAATGAAAAGAGTCTGGTTTTATATGTGTGTGGGTATAACTCTACATATGTATACATACTTACTAATTTATAGTATTATTATTATTTTTGTTGTTTTTTTTTGAGTTGGAGTCTCACTCTGTCGCCCAGACTGGAGTGCAGTGGCCGCTCCCAGCCACTGCAGCCTCAACCTGCTGGGCTCCGGCAATCCTTCCACCTCAGCCTTCTGAGTAGCCGGAATTACAGGCATGTGCTACCACGCCTGGCTGATTTTTTGATTTATTGTAGAGATGAGGCCTTGCTGCCCAGGCGGGTCTCGAACCTGCAGGCTCAGGCAAGCCACTCACCTCAGCCTCCCAAAGGTGCGGGATTACAGGCTGAGCCACCGAGCCCGGCTTATAGTATTATTTATAAACAAATTGCTTATGCATTTTTGTTGTGTGTTTGCTATTTATATGCTTGTAGCTTTCCATTTCTTTTCCTCCTGAAACTTTTTGGTAGACTAGCATGTTCTAGAAAGGATAATAATGATGTCTTTTTTTCTATTTTCTTTGTTACTCTCCTTAGCAACTAGTATAAGTAGTTGGTTGATATTTTTGTTTGTTTTTTCTCACAGGTCTGTATCATTGAAGATTAATTTTTTTAAAAGGTGATGAACTCACTAAATAGAACAAAATAAATTGTAAACACTTTTACCTTTAAAAAGGGAATGCTGGTGGATTAAGTTGTATAGCTAATTTTTTTTAGCCTCTGTATTATACTGTTAGCATCTTATTTAATTTTTATCTAAACCACCAAATATTTACTTTGTACATGGTATAGTAACAGCAGCAAGATGTTGTTCCAAACTATATTTTTTAGTTTTGATAAGATATTAGAGAAATGTTAGGAACTTGGAGGAAAAGTAAGTTTACTCGTGTAATTAGGGCCATTTTTCTCCTCATGTTTCAAACATGTTATGATAACAGTTCAAAGGTGCCTGTTATGCAAATACAGTCATGTGTTGCTTAACAAAGGGGATGTGTTCTGAGAAATGCACTGTTAGGCCATTGTCATTATGCAAATATAGAGTGTACCTACAAAAACTTAGTGTAGTTGCCACAGATAAACTACAAACCTGTTACATTATGTTACTGTACTGAATACTGTAGGCAGCTGTAACACCATGGTAAGTATGTATGTATCTAGAGATAGAAAAGGCACAGTAGGCCAGGCTCAGTGGCTCAGCCTGTAATCTCGCCCCTTGGGAGGCCGAGGTGAGTGAATTGCCTGAGCCCGCGGGTTCGAGAACCGCCTGGGCAACTTGATGAGACCTCATCTCTACAATAAATCAAAAAATTAGCCGGGCATGGTAGCACACACCTGTAGTTCCAGCTACTTGGAAGGCTGAGGCGGAAGGATCGCCGGAGCCCAGCAGGTCGAGGCTGCAGTGGCTGCAAACGGCGGCCGCAAGCGGCCACTGCACTCCAGTCTGGGCGACCGAGTGAGACTCCAACTCAAAAAAAAAAAAAATGGTATTATGATCATATGGAACCACCATCATTGACCGAAACATTGTTATACAGGGCATGACTATAATTACAGTAATGAGATAGACCTTCAGCTTTTTTTTCTTTCTTTCTTTCCTTCTTTTTGAGTTGGAGTTGGAGTCTCACTCTTATGCCCAGGCTGGCGTGCAGTGGCATGATCATGGCTCACTTCAGCATCAACCCCCCTGGACTCAGGCAATCCTTCTGCCGCAGCCTCTCAAGTAACTGGGACTACAGGCATGCGCCACCATGCCCAGTCAAATTTTAAAATTCTTTTGTAGAAATAAAGTTGCGCTGTGTTATCCAGGCTGTTCTTAAACTCCTGGGCTCAAGTAATTCTCTTTTATCAGCCTTCCAAAGTGCTAGGATTACCAGTGTGAGCTACCATGCTCGGCCTATTAAGGAATTTTAAATGTAGTTTTTAAAGAAGTTAGGAAGAGCCGGGCTGGGTGGCTCAGCCTGTAATCCCAGCACTTTGGGAGGCTGAGGTGAGTGGATTGCCTGAGCCCACGGGTTCAAGATCCACCAGGGCAACTTGGTGAGACCTCATCTCTACAACAAATCAAAAATTAGCCGGGCGTGGTAATGCGCGCCTGTAATTCCAGCTACTTGGAAGGCTGAGGTGGAAGGATCGCCAGAGCCAGCAGGTCGAGGCTGCGGTGGCTGGGAGCGGCCACTGTACTCCAGTCTGGGCGACAGGGTGAGACTCCAACTCAAAAAAAAAAAAAAAAGGAAGAGATAATTTAGTCTATATGTAGATGGGATAGGGGTAAGAAATGGAATTCTGCAAGAATATTTATCTGGTTGAAGCAAAATGTACAGGCTATGAAGAAATAGGACCAGCCTGGGATACATGGTGAGACACTGTCTCTACCAAAAAAAAAAAATTTAATTGGGTATAGTGGTGCAAACCTGTAGTCCCAGCTACTCAGGTGGCTAAGTTGGGAGGATTGCTTGAGCCAAGAAGGTGAAGGCTGCGGTGAACTATGATTACACCACTGTACTCCAGCCTAGGTGACAGTTAGACTCTATCTCTAAAAATAAACAAATAAAACGAAATTTAAAAAGTAAGAGCTAGGCACGGTGGCTTACACCTGGAATCCTAGCACTTTGGGAGGCAGAGGCAAGAGGATTGCCTGAGCCCAGGGGTTCAAGACCAGCCCGGGCAACTTGGCGAGACCTCGTCTCTACAATAAATCAAAAAATTAGCTGGGTGTGGTGGCACACACCTGTAGTTCCAGCTACTTGAAAGGCTGAGGCATGCCGGGCTTGGTGGCTCAGCCTGTAATCCTGCGCCTTTGGGAGGCTGAGGTGAGTGAATTGCCTGAGCCCATGGGTTCGAGACCCGCCTGGGCAGTGAGACCTCATCTCTACACTAAATCAAAAAATCAGCCGGGCGTGGTAGCGCATGCCTGTAATTCCGGCTACTTGGAAGGCTGAGGCGGAAGGATCGCCAGAGCCCAGCAGGTCGTGGCTGTGGTGGCCCAGAGCGGCCACTGCACTCCAGTCTGGGCGACAGAGTGAGACTCCAACTCAAAAAAAACAAAACAAAACAACAAAAAACCAAAAAACAACAAAAAAAGAATGGCTGAGGCAGAAGGATTACTTGAGCCCAGCAGGTCGAGGCTGCAGTGACTGTGAGCATGCCACTGCACTCCATTATGGGCTACAGAGTGAGACTCCTATTCAAAAAAAAAAAAAAATTAGGAAAAAAGAAATAATATTGTGTGGAGGTGATCTTAAGGGTGATATATATGCCTCAACACATATGGAAGTTTATTATGACGAAATTGTTCCCCAGATATTTTTCCCGTCACAGAGAACCGAAATAGAGAAAGGACTGCATTACAGTAAGAATGAATTTTGATAGACTTTAAGAACTTTCTGATGATAGGGATAATTCAGTTGAACTAGGCTACTGAAGTTGCTCCTTTACTTAAAAACAGTCTTCAGCCTTTTTTTTACCTACTACGTGAAGGTTAAAATACTTAAACTAATTTTCATGTAATTTTTAATCATTCTAATTCAACCCTTCCATCACTCATCAGCATTCATTATCTCAGACAGGTAGATGTGCTGCATGTGTCAGAATCACATTAAACTTACTCCTCTCTGTGTCTTGAATCTGAGAGATGCCTCATTCTTTCCATGTGTCTGGGTTCAACCAAAGCTCAACTCCTAGTTCTCTCCTAACTAACCTGGTCCTCCTCGGTCTTTCCTTTTTTTTTTTTTTTCATGTTTTTTAGGAGGGGGTTCAAGTTTCACTCTGTTGCCCAGGCTGGAGTACAGTGGCACGCTCACAGCCACCACAGCCTCGAACTGCTGGCCTCAGGTGATCTTTCTGCCCCAGTCTTCCAAGTAGTTGGAACCACAGGCATGTGCCACCACCTTTTTTGATTTATTGTAGAGACGAGATCTTTTTTTTTTTTTTTGAGTTGGAATCTCACTCTGTCGCCCAGACTGGAGTGCAGTGGCCGCTCCCGGCCACCGCAGCCTCGATCTGCTGGGCTCCGGCGATCCTTCCGCCTCAGCCTTCCAAGTAGCTGGAACTACAGGCACGTGCTACCACGCCCGGCTAATTTTTTGGTTTATTGTAGAGATGAGGTCTCGGCAAGTTGCCCGGGTGGGTCTCGAACCCATGGGCTCAGGCAATCCACTCACCTCAGCCTCCCAAAAGCATGGGATTACAGGCTGAGCCACCGAGCCCGGCTTAGAGACGAGATCTTGACATGTTGCTCAGGCTGATCTCGAACCCCTGAACTCAGACAATTCTTTTGCCTCTGCCTCCCAAAGTGCTGGAGATACGGGCATGAGCCACTACACCCGGCTTGATCTTTCCTTTTTAAAACATTATAGTAATATGATACAATATGATTTTTTTCTAATTATCTAGACTCATATAAGTTGCTTTTTTATTTACAATTTATTTTGTGTCACTGTAAATAATCTGAAGGTAGAGACGGTTTTCTGATCTTTGTTTCTCTGACACTGTCCTATCAGGTTCCCAATTAATAGGAGTTTGTTTTACTTTTTTTTTTTTTTTTTTTTTTAGAGTCTCACTTTGTCACCCAGGCTGGAGTGCAGTGGCACACTCACGGCCACCATAGCCTCAACTTGTTGGGCTCAAGTGATCTTTTTGCCTCGGTCTTCCAAGTAGCTGCAACTACAGGCACACACC